TGCAGAGACGCCACATACAACGTGAGGAACTGTATTAAAGGGTCGCAGCATTAGGATGGTTGAGAACCACTGCTTTAGAGAGAGAAAGCTGGCAGGTTAAAACTAGTCTTTTCCTAGGGAAAGTAACTTAGGACTTGGAAATGAGAAATTTGGTTACAAAAGAGTGGGTGGTAGACATTTTTTAAACTATGGGCGCCATGCACCACTTTAGGAAAAGCTACTACCAGAGAACGTTGATATCACTATCTTGGATTTGGCTTGAGTCATTTCCTGTTTAATGAAACCACATACAACAATGTATCTGCATTTGGGGTCCTGGGAATGAGTCAGGGATGTAGGAAGGAGAGAGTGGAGCATGCAACTTGGCTTTAGGATTCCATTAAAATATGTTAACTTGATTATATGTGATGTCAGAAAAATTCAGTCAGTCCTGTAAGGAAAAGTAGCAAAAAGTGTGTGAAGAAACGATCACTCATCCTGCAGAAACCTTGGAGGAGGAAGGAGATCTGAGTAGTGGCTCATAATGAAAGGACCTTGTAATAAATAAGCAGATGGCTTCTTTGCAGATGTACTCTAAATGCCCTTGTAAAATCAACTGTTTGTAAGACGAATCCACGCCCGTTGTGTAGTGGTGCTTCATCTTCTTCGCTAGCCCAGGGTTGCAAGTTTTAATTGCCACTTTATTGTCAAGGTTTCCTAAGTATTGCAGTCACTCACTTCATCACACACCGCACACCAGGAACCAGGACCAGTTGTGTGGTTTAGGCAAATTACTTCCTTTGTAGGTCTCATTTTGCTCTGGGCCTCTTTTGAATTGATTTCTAAGGCCTGTGATTGAACGGATTCCCTCCCAGCTCCTCAAACCTGCTGATTCTAAGTACTGTTCCATTTGTATGACCAGTGTGCTTGTTCTGCCACTAGATGGCACTAGTGTACCTTTCAACCTGGTCACCTGTGTTTTCAGAATCTGGGGTCTGAAGGAGCCTTGGAAATTTTGCTTATTCCAACCCCTGTTAAACAATTGGGGAACTGAGGCTCAGAGGTTAAGTGACATGGCCAAGGTCATACAGTTACTCAGAACCTCTTGAATCCCAGGCATCCATCTTTACATTCCACTGTTTCCTAGGGAAATTTATGAGGGGAGTTCAAAAAGAGACCATGTTCTCAACCATTCCTGTTGTTTGTTAATTATTAAAAAAAAACTTAAAACCCTTCTTCAAGTACACACGTTATCACATTTAAAATAAATAGTTGGCCTGCGTGTGTTTTGTATTCCGTGCCCCCCCCCCCCCCGAAGGAAGCTGCAATCATAAAGATGATTGCCCGCCTGGGACCAGCTTGCCTTTGCCCTTGCCCAAAATAAGCCCTACAGAAACCTCAACCACAGCCTTGATTCTTCCAGACGATTCTTTGCTCCTGCCCAGGCCCTCTGATAAGAGCTGGCCGTCCATTCTTGTTCATTTTTGCCCACCTGCCCACTCAAGAGAGCTCTGGGGCAGCGGGGAGTAGATATTCCCAAATTCTTAAAGATATTGTTCTTCTCGGTTCTCCAGCACCTGCCCACTGCCCTCCTCACCCCGCCTCAATCGGTGACAAGGATGGTATTGCCATAAACCATGGTTGTGGGGGCAGAGCGGTGGAGTGGGGCAGTATGGCCATGCAGAGAAGGGGGGACTCTGGGGTCTCACACACCTGGTCGAATCTTCCCGCTGTTGCTGATTGAGACCCCCCCCCCATCACCCTAAGGAGGGTGACAGTTGCTGCCTTGAGCGGCTGCTGTGAGGAGTAGACGCGGTGATGCATGGCAAGCGTGGTGTCCATGCTTAGCACACAGAGATGCTCATAGTGCCAGTCACTGTGGTCGCTGTTGGATAGAGAGGAGCGGGAGTGGCTGTCGTGGATGACAGGTAGGAGCCTAGGGAGGGCTCCGCCAGGAGCACTGGCTTTTTTGTTGGAGAAGGGAGGCTGTGTCAGTGTTTCAGACAAATCGTGTAGAACTGTGCTGCCCAGTCTGGCGCCCACCAGCCACATGTGGCGGCTGAGCACTTGAAACGCGGCTGAAATTGAGGCGTGTTGCAAGTGTTGGATACACATCAGATTTCAAAGATGAAAAACTGTATGCAGTATGAAGAAATGAATATAAAAATCTCAATAATTTTGGATATGTAGAGTCAAAGAAACTGCTATTAAAATTAATTCCAGCCCTGGCCAGTTTGGCTCAGCGGTTAGAGTGTCCGCCTGCGGTCCGGAGAGACCCGGGTTCGGTTTCCGCTAAGGGCATGTACCTCGGTTGCAGTTTGTCCCCGGCCCTGGTTGGTCGTGCGGGTGGCAGCCACTCGATGTGTCCCTTTCACATCGATGTTTCCCTCTCTCTCTCTTCCTCTCTCTCCTCCCACTCTGTCTGTACAAAAAAAAAAAAAAAGTAAAATTAATTCCATCCATTTATTTTTACTTTTAAACTTGGCTACTAGAAATGCAATGAGGCTAGCATGATGTTTCTAGAGCACTGGACCAGAAGATAGAGCTCTAATTTGGAGAATCATGTGAGAGGTGTATTATTTGTTTTGAGGTTTCTTTAGATTTTTTTCTTTTATGATGTTCTCTTCTTAAGAGCATGACCGTCCTGAATCAAGATGCCAGTCACTATTGGTAATAATAGTTTGCATAGTAGTTTAAAATAAAAAAAGTAAAAAGGCACCCAATATTCTTAGTCCCCCAAATTCTGAGGCCCTCAATTGAGAAGCAAGGTATGAACGCATTATATGTGGCTTAGTGGGTCAGGCACAGCCACAGGAAGATCCTAGAGTTGTTTGTTTTACGCCATTTCATGAGTTCAAAGAATAGAGCGTGTACAAAATTCATCTCTCATTATAATTATGTATTATCAGTACTAGATGAAAATCTACTAGCAGTTGGTGATTCTAGAATTTTTCTTCAGATGCAAATCATTAAAACAACAACACAAATGACCAAGAGTAAAAAGAGAACCTTAATACATAGTAAGTCATCTGCCTGACTTTCATTAAATTTATTTTCACTTTAAGACACTGGTTTACAAAATATTAACTTGTTTCAAAACTTCAAGCTAAATAGTAACCTCATTACCAACTGTAAGATATAGAGCTATAAGATAATTGTTAATTTTAGACATTTGTAACCATTGTCTTTTCAGGTGGATTTGAAAAATGGGTTCTTTATTTGCATGTTGAATTTACACTTGCTGGTTTTTATAACAACACATGTGAAATAGTTTTGTGGGAAGTTGGTTCTTTGCTGATGCTGAAAGCAAGGAGGGCACATGCACTTTGAAAGCTTTGAGGGCAGTTCTCATGGTTTCTGAGTTAGTCCCAGAATGAGGTGTCCCTCGTTCCAATACACTGGCTGCCTCAATGCATTGGATATAAGATGCCATTCATTGTAAGAGGCACATTTATTTTAAGTGCCACCTTAATGCTGCCAGTGAAACTCTGACAAAGCTATTGCTTCTTAAGATGCATCTATTTCAGAGATGTTAACTGGTGAAAAGAAAGGGTACCTTGTAACTGATGAAATACACAGATTTTGAAACTTTCAACTTGGTTAGAAGTTAAAGATCTTGTTTGGTATATTGTTTTATAAATTAGCATCAGATTTCAGGCCCTCTAAGATTGTATCATATTTAGTGAGTGTGGTTTGGTGCATTGGAGCTCTTTTTACTTGATTCTGTAAATAACCCAATGAAAGAAAATGTAATTTTTAAGTTGCTGGAAGTCCCTTGATTCAAAAAAGTGGATTTCTAACTTTGTTTCAACTTGGTACCTCTGATTCTCCCTCCTCCTGCCTAGCACACACCCACATTTTTCTCAGCTGTCACCTGTCCCTGTGACAAAATCTGTTCTCCATACAACTCCTGATAGCAGTTATTTATAGCCTCTCATGAATTCAAGGCAAAGTGTTATAAACTGCCCAAGGCTGTTTGCATTCTAAGCCTTATCTCTAATTGCCGCTAAAAATCTTTATCTGCTTAAAGAACTTGCAGGTCTCACTTAGCCACATGGAACAAGTATAGTGGGAATTGCTGGGGAGGAGGGATGTAGGGGTAGCCTCCTGCTCTCCTCTGTGGAAGGCTGTGGACAGATAACTGAGCAGCTCGTTTCCTTTCCCACCGCGAAGTGTGCAGCCAGATCTGCCTGCTGGATCGCCGCCTTTGCCCTGGAAGCCGGGGAGAAAGTGGGCGCCTTCTGCTGCCGGCCACATGACTGTATCTGAAAGGAAAGCAAACTGGACTGGAATAGCTGCATTTCTGACTAATTTCATTGAATTTTTATCAGGTTTACTTTTCCTTTGATAGAGGCTATTGAATTTTAAGGAAACCCTGTGAAGTCAAGATTTCTTTTGTAATTTCAATAGCTACTTCCTAATTTACCTGTTTTCTAAATCTCTGTGTTTGCAAAGTCAGGCTTTCTTTCGCCTTTGAGATTCTGAGCCTGCTTTCTCAGTTATTTTCCGGCATGCCTCAGCAGACGCATGCTGGGGCCGTTCGAGTCTTGTAAGAGTAGGCAGTACCTGGGTCTTACTTAAAGATGAAAGCAAAAGTTTTTCTTCTCAAGTTTGTAGGACATTCACCAGCTGTGAATCTGCTGATACTTTGTATACTTTTTACTTTTTACATAGTTGATGCTCAGTAAAAATGTTAGGTTAATCTCACACTTATAATTTCAGGATTTATAAACAGAGCTCTCCATTACATTCATGGAGTTTGGTTACACAGAGTGGTTTTGCTCAGCAAAGGATGTGCAGTGATATTACACCTGCTTTCAGTGCCATATTAGCTTTGAAAATCATACAGGAAAATTCATCTCCGTTTGCTAAATTTACATTCTTTATAAAACGTAAGGGAAATATTTATTCTATGGCTCTGCATTCTTTACAATAGTATTTGTTGGTAGTATCTTAAATAGTGTTCAGATTACATCCTATAAATGTCTGTGTGTTTGAATGACTGACTTTTGGCCTTGCAGCTCGGGGTGTGGTTTTCTCTCGGCTGTGCCTATTTGGCCTTGGAAGACTACGGAGGGTCCGCGAAGGCGTTTCAGCGTTGTGTCACTCTCGAACCTGATGTAAGTTTGCTTGGTCTTCTTTTCATATTACAGCTCTAAATTGATACTGTCTGGGTTATTCAAAGTACTGTTGTTCAAAACAGTGATTCCTGTGGGCATCTAGGTTCAGCTGTGCGAGAGACTGTTCTAGAACTCTGCAGTGCAACATTGTGTCCAGTTAGCCTGCGATGTGCCTACTGCCTGCGCTTTAGAAACAGCATTGCTTTCATGTTGTGTTCTCATAATAATGGGAAAAAAAGAAGAAAAGAAGACCAAAAAATTCAGTTTTTCTGTATTTTATGTTAAAAAGAACAGCAATTCCTTTTGTGTTGGAGGAAAGTATATCTTTGGTATATAATTTATAAATCTAGAAATAAATGTCTTCTCACAATAGCTAAGTTATTCATGATTTTATGTAGAAACTAATTTTGATGAAACATTTTTCAGTTAAAAGCATACTTCTCTGAAGTATAAAGTGACACATATACGTTGTCATTTACTAACATGTGCTGCCTTTGTTAATTACATTATTAGAAAGTTCTTTTCATTTACAATATTTTTATATTTAACAGCTTTACTGAGGTGGTAAACAGTTCACATACCTACAGTTCATCCATTTATTTTATTTTATTTTTTATCCTCCCCCAAGGACCTTTTTGTATTTATCTTCAGGTAGAGCAGGAGGAAGAGAGAGAGAGAAACATCAAGGTTAGAGAGACACATGGACTGGTTGCCACCCACATGACCCCAACCAGGGCCAGGGACAAACTAGAACTGAGATACATGCCCTTAGCAGGAACCGAACCCGGGTCGCTCTGGTCCGCGGGCAGGTGCTCCAACCGCTGAGCCAAACGGGCCAGGGCTATGGTTCGTCCACTTGAAGTGTACAATTCATATATTCACAATTGTGCAATCATCAGCACAATCTTAGAACATTTTTATTATAATAAAAAGAAACCCTCTGTATCCATTTAGTAGTGATTCCCCATTTCTCTCAGACATATTCTACCCCCAACCCTGTAGCCCAACCCCAGCCCCAGGTAACCACTAATGTACGTTCCGTCTCTATAGATGGCCTATTCTGGCTGTTTCACATAAATGGAGTCATACACTGTGGTCTTTTGTGCCTGGCTTCTTTCACTTAAGATTAAGGTTTTTCTTTTATTTTTTGTATGTTATTTATTTATTTATTTTTTAGAGAGAGAGAGAGAAACATCAATTGGCTGCCTCCTGCATGCCCCTACTGGGTATTGGGCCTGCAACCTGGGCATGTGCCCTGACTGGTAATCGAACTGGGACCTCTCAGTCCATGGGATGATTCTCAATCCACTCAGCCACACTGGCCAGGCAGATTAAGGCGTTTATAATTCAACCCTGTCACATGTATCAGTACTACATCCTTTTTTATAGCCAAGAAATATTCCATTGTGTGGGCATATCATATGTTATTAGTCTGTTTATCGGTTGATGGACATTTGGACTGTTTCTACTTTTTGGCTATGAGGAATTTTGCTGCTGTGCACATTCATTTACATATTTTTATGTGGACATGTGTTTCTGTTTCTCTTGGGTATATACCTAGTAGTGGAGTTACTGGGTCATACGTTAGCTCTCTGTTTAAAATTTTGAGAAATTGCCAGACTGTCTTCTAAAGCACCATTTTGGATTCCCATTAGCAATGTATGAGGCTTCCAATTTTTCAACATCTTTGTCAACACTTATTATTATCTGTCTTTTTTTTTTTTTATAGCCATCCTAGTAGGTAGTATCTTATTGTGGTTTCAGTTTGCATTTCCTTAATAGCTAATGATTTTGAGCATCTTTTCATGCACTTATTGGCCATTTGTGTATCATCTTTGGATAAATGTTTATTTACATCCTTTGCCCATTTTTAAATTGATTGTCTTTTCATTTTGAGTTGTAAGAGTTCTGTATATATCCTAGATATAAGTTTCTTAACAGATATATGATTTGCAGATATTTTCTCCCATTTTGTAACATGTTTTTCACGTTTTTGATAGTATCTTTTGAAGTATATGTTTTTAATTTTGATGAGGTCCAACTTACCTATTTTTCTGTTGTTGCTCGTGCCTTTGGTGTCATATCTGAGAATCCACGGCCAAATCGAAGGTTGTGAAGATTTACCCCTATCTTTTCTTCTAAGAGTTTTATTGTTTTGGCTCTTACATATTTATGTCCATCTGTTGTTAAACTTAATCATTAAACTTACTACACTACGTGTCGTGATGGATGTTAACTAAACTTGTGGTTATCCTTGCACAGTATACACATATATTAAATCATTACGCTGTACACCTAAGATGAATACGATGTTATATATCAACTGTGTAGCAGTTTTAAAAACTAAACATCATTTCAGATAATGTATTCTTTTAGTTCCAAGAATTTTCATTTGGTTTTTACAGTTTTCATGTTTCTACTGAGATTTCCCAATTATGTTCATTTTTTCTTCATATCTTAGATCATGATGCCCTGGTTGATTTGGCTCAGCAGTTAGAGGGTTTGACCCATGGACCAAAGAGTCGCAGGTTCAATTCCCAGGGGCATGTACCTCAGTTGTGGGTTCAATCCCAGGTCTTGGTCGGGGTCATGTGGGAGGCAACCAGTTGATGTGTCTCTCTTACATTGATGTTTCACTCTCTCTTTCTTTTTCCTTTCCTCCCACTCTATCTGAAAAACTCAATGGAAAAATATCCTTGGATGAGGATTTAAAAAATATAATAATAAAAATAAAGTCCGTGGGTGCTTATTCTAACATCTTTAATTCTGTGTCTATTTCTATTATCTGATTTTTCCTTTTATTTCCCTGCTTATATGTATGCATGTCTACCAGTTTTTTGTTTGTGTTTTGGTGGATGCTATGTTTTTGAGTTTCTGGGTTTGGGCATTTGGTTAATTTACTTGTGTGTGGATCAGCATGATTTTACTCTTTGTTAGGGTGGGTCTGTATTTTGTGGTTGCAATCACCCTTCTCTTAAGATATAACCATTTGGGGGCAGCATTTAATGTGGCAGATGCTACATGCCATAAGCATCCTCCACTCCGGTTAGCTGGAACTTGAATAACTGTTGGCACAATGTGATGTCCAGAATCTGTGCGCTCACAGCTTTCTGGAAGTTATTCTCGCCAGGCCTCCTAGTGTTGTCCTGAACATGTGGAGCTTAGTATTCTGAAGCCAAGGACTCAATGAGATGCTTATTGAGATTCCTGGAGCTTATTCTCTGTGCCGATCTCTCTTCCCTGGTATCTTACCCTGCAAATTCCAGCCACTTTTTTAGCTCTGAACTTTGATCTCTTCTTCTAGACTTGCTGTGCTGTGTTTGGTTTCCACCTCTCTAGAAATGCCTCCAGTCACAAGCCTAGGTTGATTGTGAGATACCTCAGTTGTTTACCCTGTCTCAAGGATCACAGTCCTGTGATCCACCTGTTGTACAACTTCTTAAAAACAGTTTCCTAAGTTTGGGCCAGTTTGTAGCTTTTTATGGCGATAAGGCTCCTCTGGTACTGACTGTGCCACTTCTGCAAGCAGAGGCCCGTTGTCTTCTGTATGGAATTTGAGAACCATATGCTCTATATTTTATATTTTATAAAAAGCAGAACAAAGAGGAACAAATATATTCACATTTTTCCTGTTAGAATCAACATTTCTGTAAAAGCTTTAGTTTTTGTCATTGCATAGAGGAATAGGTAGAGAAGTATGTTTGATGACCTGCTTAGGAATAACACTGAAGAACACACACTCCTTTCTTCTATTTGATGCAGGATGACAGTCAAGTAGCAGAGCCTTTTAAGCTAGGAAAACAATACTCTGCATTGTCTTGGGTTTGCAGTAAATCTGTATATTGTGTAAATTGTGTTGTAAATTATCCCACTGTTTTGTAATTCAGAAGTTTGAAATAAAATCTTAACTAAATTCCTAATTTAGTTAACAGTCATGTCAATTTGTCGACTATGTTTGTGACTTTTTCATGCTAACATATAAAAGTTATATTTAATATATTTCATTTTCTCATACACCTTTAAACATACCTTAGTGAAAATTGTGATTGTAACACATCTTGGACTAGGAAAATATGTTATATTTTTGGTTGTAGCAATTATTTTATCTAAATGGGAATAGTCTGTAACTGAGTTCTCTATCATTTCAGAATGCTGAAGCTTGGAACAATTTATCAACTTCCTATATCCGATTAAAACAAAAGTAAGTACATCAGACAAATATTGAAGAATTTCACTTCCAAAATAAACGAATGAGATTTTCTTCAACTAAAACATTGGGTCTCATAGCCGTTTGACTTCTAAATGTAGTTTATTTCTTCAAAATTTTTAATATGGCCCTGGCCGGTTTGGCTCAGCTGTTAGAGTGTTGGCCTGCGGTCCGGAGAGACCCGGGTTCGGTTCCCGCTAAGGGCATGTACCTCGGTTGCAGTTTGTCCCCGGCCCTGGTTGGTCGTGCGGGTGGCAGCCACTCGATGTGTCCCTTTCACATCGATGTTTCCCTCTCTCTCTCTTCCTCTCTCTCCCTCCCACTCTGTCTGTACAAAAAATGGAAAAATGTCCTCGGGTGAGGATAAAAAAAAATAAATAAATAAAAAATTTTAATATGTAATAACATAAGAAACATCATTAAAAATCTTTATCTGCTACTGAAAGTCTGCACCCTAAATTTCCTCACATGAGAAAAGCAAGCATGCCTTTTAGTTGGTCATTTCAATTGATAGATTTAAAAAAAATTGCTTAAAGTATTACAGATGTCCCCCCCTTTTCCCCCCACTGACCTCCGCTTCCCCATTCCCACTCCCCTCCTGCTTTCCCTTATTGATTACTTGCTGTGTACTTGACATTATTGAGAAGTAGATATATGAACAGTGTCTTTAGGGAGTGAGTGTAGGTTTAAAAAAATATATTATGTCATATTATTTTAAAAATTGATTAACACTATATAGGTAGTGTGTGGTAAATATTAAGTGAGAAATATAAAGAGAGCAATAATAATCGTGGGTGCTGTCTGTGGAACACGTATGCTGTTCCAGACGTCCCATAAGAGAGAAAGTGCGTGCATGATCCAGGGTCAGAAATGCTCCGAGAGCGCTGGAATCATGCTAACATTTGAACGGGTAGAGGGCACAGGGGAAAGCCATTCAGGCACAGGGAATGCCGTCCAGTGCCCAGTGACAGGAGTGAACGCAACACCTTAGGAGAGAGGAAGTGAAGGGACTCAGCTATAGACTAGTGAAATCTGTAGTGAGTGGTGAGGTCAGGAAGGTCCTTTGGGGTCAGATTGCAGTATACTCTGATTATCGGATTAACAAACTGAGGCTATTCTGTTGGAAATAGGAGGCCAAGATTTCAGTGGAGTAATTGCATGGAGAAAGAAGCTTTTTGGAAAGTTTTATCTGGTGGCAGTGTGTGAGACAGACCGGAGAGGAAACTGGGGAACCAGCTAGGAGACAGCTGTCGTAACAGTCCAGGCAGGAGATAACTGGGCTGGGAAAAGAAGGGCCAGAAGCCAGTTTGAAGGGGACAAGCAGTTGGGCTTATTGACTGGTTACAAAGAGCGAGGAAAAGGGCAGAGACAGAATTGCTGTTACAAGTTGTAATGAATTAATTAAATGAGATCATGAAATGCTTCCGCTGCTCTTAGACAATCTACAAAAATAAGATACTGTTTGTGCTACCATTCTCTTCAGAAAATAATATTATGTTTTTGATTGCAACTGATTGTGTTAAAACTCACTAGAGACTCTTCTGATTGAAAGCAAGCGGTGAGGGAAATCCCTGTCATAGCTGCAGAATGATCTCAGTGGGTTTTCTAGTAACCCTGATAATGTTGCATGCAGTGAGTCTCCTGATACCCAACCTTGTCTTCTGGCCCAGTAATCCTAAGAATTCTGCTTTCTTTCTCAGGAGTTTTTACACATTGTTCCTCAGCTTCTTTCTGATGCTTTCTTGTCTTCGTGCAGCTCCATGAATAGGTTTTTGTGTAAAAGTGGGGTTGTAAGTTCGGAGGTAAATCACTCCTTTATTCTTCGCTTTTTACTCTTCCCTTTTGTTGCTGCTCCAGACAGAGCTAATTTTTGACTCGGGGGTAAATTGTTACTACTGTTTCTCTCAAAAGAAGCCTATCCATTCCTTGAAGTGACTCTTTATTTTATTTATTTATTATTATTTTAATTTTTCATTTATTTTTTTGTTACAGATGTTTCTCCTTTTTTACCCCATTGGCACCCCTCTCACCACCCCACCCCCATCTCGTCGCCAGCTTTGTTGTCCATGTCCATTGGTCATGCTGCTCTACCCATTTTTGAATTGGGTTCTTTGTCTTCCTTTGTTGAGTTGTATGAGCACTCTATATATAGTGGAAATTAACCCTTATCTGATATATCATTGACAATGATGTTCTCCCATACAGTGGGTTGCCTTTCAATTTTGATGACTGTTTCTTTTGCTGTGCAGAAGCTTTTTAGTTCGATGTAGTTCCATGTGTTCATTTTCTCCTTTGTTTCTGTTGCCTTAGGTGATGTATCAGTGAAAATTCTGCTCCGTATGATGTCCGAAATTTTTTTTTTTTTTTTTTTTTATCCTCACCCGAGGTCATTTTTCCATTCTTTGTTCAGGTAGAGTGGGAGGGAGAGAGAGGAAGAGAGAGAGAGGGAAACATCGATGTGAAAGGGACACATCGAGTGGCTGCCACCCGAGCGACCAACCAGGGCCGGGAACAAACTGCAACTGAGGCACATGCCCCTAGCGGGAACCGAACCCGGGTCTCTCCAGACCGCAGGCGGACGCTCCAACCGCTGAGCCAAACCGGCCAGGGCTGATGTCCGAAATTTTGTTGCCTAAATTTTCTTCTAGAATTTTTTTGGATTCACGGGTCACATTTAAGTCTTTTATCCATTTTGAGTTTATTTTTGTGTATGGTGTAAATTGATGGTCTCGTTTCATTTTTTTGCATGTAGCTGTTCAATTTTCCCAACACCATTTATTAAAGAGGCTCTCTTTACTCCACTGTATGCTCTTGCCACCGTTGTCAAATATCAATTGAGCATATTGCCTTGGGTGTATTTCTGGGTTTTCAGTTCTGTTCCACTGGTCTATATGACTGTTCTTGTGCCAGTACCAGGCTGTTTTGATTACAGTCGCTTTGTAGTATAACCTGATATCTGGTATTGTGATCCCACCTACTTTGTCCTTCTTTTTCAAAATTGCTGTGGCTATTCAGGGACTTTTTTGGTTCCATATGAACTTTTGAAGTATTTGTTCTAGTTCTGTGAAATATGTCACTGGTATTTTGATGGGGATTGCATTGAATCTATAGATTGCTTTGGGTAGTATGGACATTTTAATGATGTTAATCCTTCCAATCCATGAACAAGGTATGTGCTTCCACTTTTTTATATCTTCCTCTATTTCTTTTTTCAATGTCCTGTAGTTTTCTGCAAATAGGTCCTCTACTTCTTTGGTTAAGTTTATTCCTAGGTATCTTAATTTTTTTGGCACGATGGTAAATGGGATTGTTTTTTTAGTTTCTCTTTCTGTGAGTTCATCATTGGTGTACAAGAATGCTGTCGATTTCTTGGCGTTAATTTTGTATCCTGCTACTTTGCCAAATTCATTTATTAAGTCTAGTAGATTTTTGATGGAGTCTTTAGGGTTTTCTATGTATAATATCATGTCATCTTCAAATAATGACAGTTTCACTTCCTCCTTTCCAGTTTGAATCCCTTTTATTTTTTCCTCATGTCTGATTGCTGTGGCTATGACTTCCAGTACTATGTTAAATAGGAGTGGTGAAAGTGGACATCTCTGTCTTGTTCCTGTTCTTAATGGAAATGTTTTTAGTTTCTGCCCATTGAGTATGATGTTGGCTGTAGGTCTTTCATATATGGCCTTTATTATGTCGAGATATGAGCCTTCTATCCCACATTGCTGAGCATTTTTATCAGAAATGGCTGCTGGATTTTGTCTAATGCTTTTTCAGCATCTATTGATATGATCATGTGGCTTTTATTCTTCGTTTTGTTTATGTGGTGTATCACATTTATTGATTTGCGAATATTGTACCAGCCTTGCATCCCTGGAATGAATCCCACTTGGTCATGGTGAATAATTTTTTTGATGTGTTGCTGGATCCGATTTGTTAGTATTTTGTTCAGGATTTTGACGTCTATGTTCATCAGGGATATTGGCCTGTAGTTTTATTTCTTTGTAGTGTCTTTTTCTGGTTTTGGAATTAGAATTATGCTGGCCTCATAGAACGTGTTTGGAAGTCTTCCTTCTTCTTGAATTTTTTGAAATAGTTTGTGGAGAATGGGTGTTAGTTCTTTTTTGAATGTTCGGTAAAACTCCCTCATTAAGCCATCTGGGCCTGGGCTTTTGTTTGCTGGAAGAGTCTTGATTACCTCTTTAATTTGCTCAGTTGTTATTGGTCTGTTCAAATTTTCTATCTCTTCCCGGTCCAGTTTTGGGAGACTGTGTTTCTAGAAATTTGTCCATTTCACTTAGATTTTCGAATTTGTTGCCATATAGTTGTTTATAGTAGCTGTTAACGATCTTTTGTATTTCTGTGGTGTTGGTTATCCTCTAGCTTTTTGCCTGGAGGCTAGCAGTCCAGGTTACTTGTTGAGTTTTGGGTTGTCAGTTGATTGAAAAAATCCCTCAGGTGCTCAGCATAAGGGGATTTCCCGAGGGTGGGGCAGATGCTGGTTGTTAGTGAGCTTCAATTATCACTTCAATGGCCCACAGGGTGGGGTTGGATCTCTGAGGGAGGGGCTGCTGCCTCTCCCCAGAGCCCTGGGAAGGTGCAGTATGGCCACTGTCCTGTGTGGCTGTACTCAGCAAAAGCTCTGAGCGCCCTCCAAATCCCGAGTGTCCCCACACAGTCCCAGTCCAGTCCGCCCTCCCTCTGCCGGAGCCCAAGGTGAGTGGCTGTGGCTGTGTCTGTTTCAGCCTCTGTCCCGGCTGCGCTGTGGAGCCGCCTGGGAGTGTGACCCGAGGGCGCTGCTCCCAGCTAAGGCCACTGCCGAGCTGCCGACTGTGGGATCCCAGCCCCGTCTCCGCCTTCGAAAGCCTACCAGGATGGAGTCAGTGTCCCTCGTTGTATGGTCCTCGCAAGCTGCTTTTCTGTTGCTTTTTCCCGTCAATTTGTCTGTGTTATAGTTGTAATTCCAGTTAGTCCTGGGAGACGGTCTGTGTAGCTTCCGTTCACTCCGCTGCCATTTTGGAATCCCTATTATTTTTTTTATCCTCACCCGAGGATATTTTTGCATTTATCTTCAGATAGAACTGGAGGGAGAGAGAGAGAGAAACATCGACATGAGAGAGACAGACACATTGAGTGGTCGCCACTCACACGACCCCAACCGGGGCCAGGGACAAACTGCAACCAGGTACATGCCCTTAGCTGGACCCGAACCCGGGACTCTCTGGTCCGCGGGCTGACACTCTAACCGCTGAGCCAAACTGGCCAGGGCTGAAGTGACTCTTTAAACTATGCTGTGTGTCCCTCTGCCATCACAAGGTTCTTCATTAAAATTCTTTTCTCTGTTCTCTCTGATCCCCCTGGACATCAGTTCCTTGGGACAGTTTTCCATCTTCCTATATAACTGTCATCGTGCAGTATTCCCACCATTGTGGGTTTGATAAGTGAATCCTGAATTAAAGTTCCTTGTAAAGAAGCCATATTTACCAAAAAAGAATTTCATTGCAAAAATGTTGAGGCTAGGCAATTGTGATTGGAGGAAAGATCGACACACAGGAAAAAGACTAACCGTCCTAGTTGGACTGCTGCTTGTTGAGTTCTTTTCCAGTAGGATAACTTCGCCCCCACTCCTGAGTGGGTGAGAGGACTGGAGTCTCAGTTTACCACTGCTGAAGGTAGCTGCTCTTGCATGGGAGTGAGCACAGAGAGTGGAGTAGAGAAAGAAAAAATCCCATAGAAAGACTTATGGCTGGATTTGAAGAAGTGTTAGAGAAAGGATACTTTCATTTCTATCTATGAAGGATGGTGGGCCAAGGGATAAATGAGTCAGTACATTTCATAATAAGGTAGATTTTTTTTTTTTAATGTAGAGAATAAAAAACTAAACTGTAGTGAATTGGCTGTTATGAAAAGACTGAAAGGACTTATTTGTAAGGAAGGCATTTTGATCGCTACTGTAGATATATTAGAAATTGATCAGATGATTTGTGTGTCCAGTGACTCTTGTGGAAAATTACTGATGGCATGGGCACACTTCTTTCTAAGGGGGTGACTCGCAGAGGAGTGGCCTGGGATGGCCAGAAGAACCACCATCATCCCCTCCAAAATTTTCCTCAGAGTCATCAAGGATGGAGGGGCCTTGATGAAACATTCTGAGGTTCAGCAGAGAAAGGAAGGTGGACCTTGTGGTCTTAAGTTAGTAAACTCAGAATGACTATGGGAAGGGAGGTTGATAGCATGCATTTGGAAAGTTACTGTAATTGTCTAGTAAAACGTTTATGATGTGTAAGGGAACTGTAGTCTTTGTCCAGCCCCCAGAGGAAAACAAGAATCTTTTTGTTTGTGGAGATGTGTAACTTGTAGCATAGGTGACATGCAGTTCTGCTGATTTCCTTGCCAATAACAAGTTGTTAATAGTCTTTCTCTATTTTTTGAAGTGGCTGGTCTAGGACAAGGATTCCATGATGGTTCGGTGACCCTTGCCTTTAAACTCCTTATACTTGCTTTAATTTTTATTGATTTGTTTGGCTTGTTTTTCTTTATCTCATTTTGTATATAACTTGCTCGTGGTGTTCTCTTACGAGTTTTTAAAAAGTACTAATCTTATTTGTGCCATTTTTCTTTCATTCTCATGGGAATTTAGTTAGACATTTGTTTTACTGGTGATTTTCAAAGAACCAGCTTTTGGTTTAGTTGACTATTCTATTCTTTACTATTTTATTTCTTAACTCTGTTCTTTTCTTGTTTCTTAAATGTATTTGGCATTCTTCTTATACCAAATTAAATGGAATGTTTTAACTCATTTTCCATCTTTTGTATCTTATATTTAATGCATATAAGATCATAAATTTCCCTCTGAATTCTGTTTCAGCGATATCCTGTATATAGTGATAAAAGGTACTTTAATTAATTTCTAAATATTTTGTACTTTCTAATGTGAATTTCTTTCTTGCCTCCACTGTGGTTTTTTTTTTTGTAAGAGTGCATCTTTAAGTTGCTAGGCATATAATTTTTAAAATGTCCTATTGACTGTTGATTTCTTATTTAACTGAAGAGAATATAGTCTGTATACTTTTAGTTTTACTTTTTTAAAAACAACTCATAATTTTTATTCTTAATAATTATTTCAATTTACTGACATTTCATCAGTTTCTGATCTCAGCATTGACCATTTTTGTACCCCTTTCTTTCTCTTTGAAGTCCCTTTTATTTTTGTAAGATGGGATTCTGTAGTAGTTCTTTTAAGTTAGGATCAGTAAGTGGTAAACTTTCTTAATCTCTGTACAGTCAGCCCTTGTTTATTGTGGTAAATCAGTTCCAGACTCTACTGTGATAAATGAATTTCCACGAAGTAGGATTCTTTATTTATATGCAGTCGTCCCTCGCCACTTCACACTTTCCAATGAAAAAACGGTGATAGAGTGAAGCTGCAAAAGTCGAAGCACGAAGTGGCGAGGGACGACTGTGTATCTGAAAATGTTTGATTTTGCATTTACTCTTGAGTGGTATGTTTAGTGGTTGTAAAATTTTAGGCTGACAATTACTTTCATTCATCACTTCACAGGATGTATTCTGTTGTCTTCTACCACCTTTTTTGCTAATGATATATCTGCTGTTCTCTAATTGTCATTATTTTGTAAGTTTTAGGATTGATTTTGTGGTCTGCAATTTTACACAGTATGTCTAGGTGTTGATTTATCTTTATAATGCTCAGTATGCAAAGTATAGTTTTGATCATAGAATTTAGATCTTTGTTCAGTTCTGGAAAATGCTCAGCTATTTCTTTTTCAAATATAGTATCCTGCCATTTTCTGCATTTGTTTACTCTGGAATGCCTATCAAGTATATGTTTGAGGCTTACCTCTCATTCTGTCCTGTTTCTTTATTACTCTTTCATTTTTAATTCTGAATTGGGTGAGCTCCTCTCTATTATTTTCCAGTTCTTCTCTTCTCTTTGACTATGTGAGTCTGGTTTTTGTTACCTGTCAAGGTTTTCTTTGTCCTACTGTCCCTTTCAATTCCAAAATTTCTAGTTTGTTTTTATTCACATCTCCCCATTCTTGTTTTATTCCTACCTGAAATTGTTTTGTAATTTCCTGCCTCTTTTAAAATTTTAAGAGATTTGTAGGGAAATTTGAGGTGGTGTGGGGTTGTTTGGGCCTCTAATTCCATTTATCAACATGAATAATTAAGGACCGACAGAAAGTTCACATCAACAGTTACACGCGTAGCTATGGTTTATTTAGCTGAGGTTATTCATGCTGCTCTCTTTCAACTTGGACCTTCAATAGAGTGAAAGCTTTTCGAACCTTACAAGAAGCCCTCAAGTGCAACTATGAACACTGGCAGATCTGGGAAAACTACATTCTCACTAGCACTGATGTTGGGGAATTTTCAGAAGCCATTAAAGCGTACCACCGGCTCTTGGACTTAAGAGACAAATACAAAGATGTTGAGGTAGGTTATCAGTATTTTGTTATTTTGGGTTGTGTTTGGTATTAATAATTGATTAAAGGATATAAATTGTTTCCTTGATTATAAACAGGAAAATTTTGTTAAACACATATAATATATAAAAAGAGTGTTTCTTCCTATAGTCACATATTCTTAGTTACATATTAATTCAGGCATTCCAATGTCAAATATGTTTGTGCAACCGTAGACTAAATATTACTGTGACCCAGTTATAAAAATCTGATATGTGTTTTACATATGTAGTCAGCCTGTAGACACTACATAGAATGATATTTGTGGTATTTGTTACTTTGGTTATATTGGTGGGTGTCATAGCTGGAGTAAATTCTGTACTCATTTATTCACTCATTGAACAAGCATTACTTTCAGAATATTTAAACAATATAGAAATGAAGTCTAACATTTTCTTTGCTATAGTTAATGAGCTGGTCTTCTTCTTGGTGAGATGAAGTCAGAACTGGTTGACTCTTAGCACAGTACAGAAATACTACATCCTTTCAGAAAGTGTGGCGACTCGAGGCTGCCGTGTTTGCTGTCCAATAGGATTAAGCATACAAGACCTTGTGGTTGAAGACAGTGTGCAAAGTCAGGGGGGCTTGAAAATATAACACTTTATTTATAATAATGAACATATCCTATTTAAAATGGTGAATTTGGAATTATGAAAAAACAAATAACATCTGCTCTGGCCAGTGTGGCTCAGTTGGTTGGAGCATTGTCCCATATACTGAAAGGTGGTGGGTGTGATCGCTGGTGGAGCACATACAGGAGGCACCCAGTTGATGTCCCTCTCTGCGTCTCTCCCCCTCTCCTTCCCCTCTCTCCCTTCCCCTCTCTGTAAAATTAGTAAGTATATCCTTGGATAAGGATTAAAAAAAAAGAAATGACATCAATAAATGTTAATACTTCTCTACTCTTATAGCTAATTATCTGTACTTAAGATGTTTCCAAGTTTACCTTATCTGGACCCTGCCTTATAGTCTCAGCCCTTGGCCTGGATGTGCTTGGTCTTGCAAATCCAGCCATGTAACTGGCCAAGTTACTTTAAGGCTCAGTTCTAGGCAATTTACCTGAAAGATCTGTGGCTTCAAGTAGCACCATATACCTACTTACATAGGAGCTGTGTGAACACTTTAAATTACTTTTCTTTTTCTTATTTTTTGTCCTTTCTAAATATTGTATGTTGATCATCCATTATAGGAAGAGGGGTCTTGAGTTTCACATTATAAAGATTGAATGAAACATGGATGGAGGCAGAGCAGTTTTTTGTTTTGTTTTGTAATTATTTTTATTAATTTGTTTTTGATACTTGACAGAGCAGTTTTATATCCCGGAAAGACTGGGCGCCCTGGCAGACGTGGTCTGAGCCCTCAGGCAGGCTGGCTCTCGCCTGCTCAAGGGGCTGGGCTCTGCGCGGAGGTGGCCCCGTCCACACTCAGCCCGGCCAAGGGCACCCTGCAGACGTGGTCTGAGCCCTCAGGCAGGCTGGCTCGCCTGCTCGTGGGGCTGGGCTCTGCACAGAGATGGCGCCCCGTCCACACTCAGCCCGGCCAAGGGCACCCTGCAGACGTGGTCTGAGCCCTCAGGCAGGCTGGCTCGCCTGCTCGTGGGGCGGGGCTCTGCACGGAGGTGGCCCCCTGTCCGCACTCAGCCTGGCCAAGGGTGCTGCAAAGGCTTCGAGCAGATCTCAGAATGGTGCCCAGCCCCAGGGACGGGCAGAGACCCCAGAGCGCTCATCTCTGTTTATACTCACTCCAACTGTAATTTTTAAAAAGGCCCTTCTTTACTAAGGAAGCATTCTGAAGCCTGTTCTTCAAATCTCAGGGAGAGCATAATGGACATCAGTAGTACATTTCATTTTACATTTGAAACAAGCTCTATTTCTTTCTTTCACATTAAAAAATGTGCGTGAAAAGAAGGGGGGCATCTAATACTTTCAATACTAAAGATTTAAATAAAAACATGCATGAAATACTCAAATCCACACCTCGTTTAGCCCAGCATTCGGCATTACAAGCTGCCAGAGCAAGGGGGCCCCGGAGGTCCTGGGCTCGAAGTGGGCGAGTGGGGCGTCCCCTGCCGAGAAGACTAGAGGGCCAAGCGTTCAGTCTGCTTTTCTGTCCTGCTGGCCCTGCTGTTGGACAGGCATCTCTTCCCAAGCTGCCTTGTAACTGGTTTCCTTGGTCAGTCTCAACCATTACTCTAATATGTCTCCAGTTTCTAACTCATGTGAGTGGGATTTCCCCTTTAAATCCATATTTTAACCCACAGTAATCCTTTGTATCTGCTACGGATTAGAAACAGTTGGCTAACCAGACTGGCTTTTGGTTCCTGAGACAATTCTGACCATCTTTTATACTTGGCACTCATAGAAGTGGTTTTGTATAAGGAACCCAAATGGCTAGGTCTAGGCCCCTCTTCTTTCTTAAACGATGGACCTTTGTGGGTTTTAGTACATATGCTTCAAAGGCAGGGGCTTTTCTGTTTTACCTCTCACTTATTCTCCCTTGCTCTCCAAGCAGATAGAGCAGGGCAGAGTGACAGGATCAAGTAGTGATGACTGACACGCAGCAAGCCACTGTGTGCCAGACGCTGCCCTAAGCATGTAAATGCATTAACTCAGCCCTGGCCGGTTTGGCTCAGCAGTTAGAGTGTCGACCCGAAGACCAGTGAGTCATGGGTTCGATTCTGGTCAAGGGCACATACCTCGATTGCAGTTCGCCCCTGGCCCTGGTCGGGTCGTGCTGGAGGCAACCAGTTGATGTGTCTCTCTCACATCAATGTCTCTCTCTCTCTCTCTCTCCTTCCCTCTCTCCCTCCCCCTCCCCCTCCCCCCCTCCCTCCCTCCCTCTCTCCCCCTCTATCTACTGATAAATGGAAAAATATCCTCGGGTGAGGAATAAAGAAAAAAGAAAATGCATTAACTCAGTTCTCACCACAGCGCTGTGAGAGAGATTTTTATGTCATAAGCTGTCTCACTCCAGAATGTATGTCTGTATCTTCCCCCCGTGTTTTAAGGAAATGAATGATATGAAACAAGATAACTGTCCAAAGATTGTTTTGGAAAGCTGTTACTTCTACATCGTTAAGTTAACGTCATCAAGGTGTTGCGGATGTTAGTTAATTTAGACGGTATAGCAGGTGTGCCAGATCACCTTGCTAGCTTACTGAGAGGCATGTATTCCAGGGAGAACGGCACGACTGAAGGAAGCAGCTGCTTTACTGAGGATGACAGTTCAGAATGAAATGGGTTCAGTCTTGCTCATTCCTGTCTCCTGAAATTATAACAACTGGAAATGAATTAGAGAATTTTACTTAGGATTTTCCTTTGTTCTTTGCACTCTCCCATCCACAACTTAGGCGTCTCATTTTCTCTCAGGATGAACACATTTCTTGCAAACGTTTAGAATAACACCGCTGTACGTGCGCATCTGTAAATGCGTGGGAGACGGGGGTGCTTGGACAGCATGTCGGTCGTCAGCGGCGACGCCACGGAGCTAGCTCCAGCCCAAATAAGCTTGCAGGTTGTTGATATGCTTACAAACCTTCTAGGAGCCTTGTGTGAGAAAGAATAAAGGACTCAAGGGATGATTTTTATCTTGAGGAATTCTGGGCAATTCTCTGTCAATATAATACATTTTGAAGTAAAAAGACACTTTTCTTAACTTTTCAACAAAGAACTAAAAAGGAAGTAAAGCTTAATGGAAATGTTAAGAATGATCATATAGCATAAAATTACATTTAAAACTAATTTATCCAGCCTCAGCTCTGAATGCAGAGAGATGCCTTTTGAGTATTTTTCATAAAAGGAAAAAAAAAGTCTTAAATCATTCTGAACTTAAGTGAAAATGTAATTGTTTCCTAGAGAAAACGACTAGGACTTAGTTTAAATTCATAGCCAGATAATACTTTAATCTCCTTTCCTCTAATTCGTTCCTCAAGTTCAGGATGTGAAACAAACTTTCTTTTGTACAGTAGTATTCATCTGAGAATGACTATTTCAGTGAGTTGAAAATAATTTCTATATAAGTTTAGTATTTTTCAAAACATTCAAGGGTGACCTTTGGCTTCTTGAGGCTTCCTCCTGCAGCCCCCTGCTGCTCAGAGGCGCCCCGGGACAGCCTGTGGTGAGAAGGTTGTTTCTAAACAACACGTGGAGAAGCATGGTGTGCTGTAAAGATGTTATGGCTGTAGGTTAATTTTTATTTTTTTAAATTTATTTATTTATTTTTTAATCCTCACCCGAGGACACCTTTCCATTTTTTGTTCAGAAAGAGTGGGAGGGAGAGAGAGGAAGAGAGAGAGAAACATCGATGTGAAAGGGACACATCGAGTGGCTGCCACCCGCACGACCCAACCAGGACTGGGGACAAACTGCAATCAAGGTACGTGAACTGAACCCGGGTCTTTCTGGACCGCAGGCTGATGCTCTAACCGCTGAGCCAAACCGGCCAGGGCTGTAGCTTAATTTTTATATTTGGTTTTGGGGAAATGTTACTGAGAACATACTCACTAGATACCCAGTGACTTTCTCAGGTCAAATTATGATCTCTAGCACCTTACAATAGAGAACTTCCAGGTATCAGATGGAGAAAGAGCCACAGTGAGATGATTTTCAGTTTACACGAGGCCCTGTTAAAGGCTGTTTTAGGCGTGTCGTGGGATGCTGACGGCAATGTTTGGTCTCCGCAGGTGTGGGCAGGATCACTCCACAGTGGTTAGGTCATTGAGGGAAAGTCCTGATGGCTGATGATGAGCTCAGACATATGTAGCTTCATTGCATATTTCTGTCATCATGTTTTATGACAGCTAGTCAGTGTGGACCGAGACAATTGATAGATTGTCTGGAATATTTTTATCTCGGCTAAAAAAATTTAACTTAATTTGACTCGATAAGTTCAGCAACAGATGTCTTTCAAAAAACTCTGATATTCTTATGTTTGACACTACCTGACCCCATTCTATTTTAATTTGCTCTAAAA